CCTGGTGGCCATTTGAGGAGAAGGTTTCAGGTTTCAGGTTAACTACTTTAGGGTTAACTGTTGTGGTAAAACATTAATATGTGGCTATTTGATAGCAGTATTGAACTGTAGGCAAACCTGGCGGCAGTTATGTTCCGGACTGTAGCTGGGTGGGTCTTAGTTGTTCCCATGCCTCCTCTAGCTTTGTCCCTCCACTGCAGCAGCAGCCTCTTTTCTACTTCCATATCATCTCATCTGAAGTGGTCTTAATTATGCAGCGGCAAAAACTTTTCTTGCAGAGCAAACCCACTTTTGCGCAAGGTCTGAGCGGCACCGTGCTGGTTCAAGCTGGGTTTTACAGCACATGTCAGATGGCAAGCACCACATGCCCCATCAGCCCCAGCAAGTATGGCTAAAGGTTGGAGGATATGGGTGCTGTAGTCCAAGAAATCTACCAGGTTGGGGAACTGATGCATTTGCTCCACAGATAACTTGTTGGAAGATTTCCTCCTGCATCCTAGGTGGATGTCTCTTGGATGGAAAACGGAATACAATGCCAGTTCAATTTAAAAGCAAGAGTAGGGTGGGAAAATCTGCTTGTTGTTTGCAGCTTAGCCCTCAGAAGCCCCAGTCAGCACAACCAATAATCAGGCATGCCGAGAGCTGAAACCCAAAAATCTGGATTTCTCCTCCTGCCCATCCTGGCCGGGGCCAAAGCACCTTCCTGGTTTACCCACCAGAGACTGCCTGGCATTTTGAGCAGCCCGGTTGCCCTAGTTCTCTGATCCAGCATTGGAATCCACACCCCCCTTTTCACCTAGGTCCACTAAGAGAACTGTTCCCTGCACTTTTGCTGGATGTCAACACACTTCAATTGTCTGAACACTGGTACCTGATACTGAGGTTTTAAATCTTACATTGTATTTTATGGATTTAATTGTTGCAAACCACTGTGAGAACTTCAGCTATGGGATGGTGCAGAACTGTTAGAAATAAAGGGATACATAAATAAATGAATGGTTTGATTAATATCTAAGCTGCTTAAAACATTTACAATGACTTCTGGAAACTCTTATTAGCTCTATCGCTGGCTAAAATGGTAGGGCCCCGAACTATGATTCAGTGAATTAATTCTGCATGGTGATACCAGAAAGACTTTTTCTTCCAAGAGGTGATCCCTGGCTTGGATAACCACTGATCACAGAAGATGAATGCCGCTTAATCTGGAATAAGAACCTGGTAAAACTCCAAGGGTCCCCTTATTCTGGAGACGTCAACCAGGCAATGTTCAAAAGTCTTCTACGGGGCAATCCTTCTTACTGACCACCCTCCTGCCCCCACCCAGCTCCTTCTTACCTGCACGAGCAAATCTGTATGCCACGTTGTGCCATTCCTATCCTGGGCTACACAGAGGAGCAGTTCTCTTGTGTGCAAAGGTGCCTTTTCCTGCATAAAACAATCCAAGCTGGGCGGAAGGGAGCTCTTCGAAAGAATCGCTTCCACGGTGCCTCCAGGGTTGCTCTGCCGGCTTCTGCTACCAGGAAGCCTCAGCAGAGTCGCCAGCCATGCTCTTTCTGTGGAGCGTAATGTTTGCTTCGAGCCAGGCCTGCAGTTGCTAGAGAACTGGTGGAAGCCATTCAAGCCTGGGCTTGCCTAGAGATCAGGGAGACCCAGGATCTAATCTGAGAAGGAATGTTCGGGCAGGCATGGGGGTTCCTTATCCCAGCCTTTTGGGTAGGGTGGGAGATCTTCCCTCGGAGGGTGTCAGCTTGGCGTGAGTTGCATGGCACACTCAGAAGCATAAATGATGATGATGATGATGATGATTGATGATTGAGGAGGAGGAGGAGGATGCCATTATTGGGGATAATTGCGTGTGGAATTCCTGGAGGAAGAGCAGACCCCAAATGTTTTGGCCACATCTCCCCTCTAGGCTCTCCTGACACAGACGGACAGAGTGGTAGGTCAAAGCTTGCTTTTCCGTGTCACACCTGCCACCTCTTTTTCACCTGCCTCTTGCTCTGGCCCAGACAAGGTAAGGAGGAGGCAGGGTCTGCGGCTCAGCCGATCTGGGTCCTAGTCTCCACTCAGGCCATGAAAGAAACTGGGTGACTTGGGCCAGCCACAGACTCTCAGTGCAGCCTACCTCACAGGGTTGTTGTGGGGATGAGACTGAGCGCAGGAGGAGGAGAATGATGTAAACCGCTTTGAGTTCCTTGTAAGGAAAAAGGCAGGATGCAAATCAAATAAACAGAGGAGGAGGAGATCTTGCAAGATGTCTTACAGGCCTTGCAAATAGCTTTCTAGGCACTGCAGTCCTTGGTTTAGAAACTGAGTGTGCCCAGAAGCCGGAGGTGTTCCAGCCCTACCTGGACAAAGGAGGACTGAACCTTGGGCCTTCCTCATGCAAGGCAAAGCTTGTGCCACTGAGTTCTTGCAGGTCTCACCAAGGGAAATCTGTGTTTTCTGGTCCTGCATTTTGCCTTTGCATTTGTTAGTAATTAGGAGCAGAGGGATCAGAGTTCCCACTCAGCCGGGAAGCTTACACCATGGGCCCTCCCCCCGCAGGCTAACCCACCTCACAGCGCACTTGTGAACATGCAAAGATGCATGCATAGGATGGGGGGGAGGGGAGACCCATCTTTGCTGTCTCGGGCTCCTCTGAGCAAAGGCACCAGCTGCCTGTCGCATAAGCAAAAGCATGCTCTCTTGGCCACAGGCCCGTGGCAGGACTCTGTTGGCTTTAAGGAGCATGCCAGACAGAAATTTCACAGGTGAAGCTTTCCCCATTGCAACATCCATCCCCATGCCTGGGAAAGCTGCAGCTGCTGACTATCTGCATGTCCCATTATCCAAGCAGTCCTGGGAGGCAGAATTCCTGGAATCCTGTGGGACTTCCTTCTGAGTATACATGCAGACTCTCCAGCTAGAAGCAGTCAAGAATAGCTTCACTGCCTAGCAGCTGGTTCTAAAAGCACTGGATTTAGACCTGTGGAAATTTGTGGCTGCAGGCTCACATGGATGGAAGTCTTAATCTATTCGGCAGGACTTACTTCCAAGTAAACATGCTGATGGTTAGGCTTTAGGTGGCAAAGGAACTCCTTCGGATCTTTGATGAGAGCACTTTTGAGGATCAAGACCAGAGATCATGTATATTTTCAATATTAGGGAAGAGAAGGAAAGAAGCAGCAGTTTAAAGACAAACAGATTTATCTGTCTAATTTCCCGAGCTTCTTGTCTGATGTGCATTCGGCTCCACACCACACACCTGCCTTGGACGGAGCCATTTCACTGAGACTTCTATAAACAGAAGGCAAGATTCCACCAGCTGTTCACCTTTTGAATTGGCTGTAGTTGGCTCTATAAAGGGAGGGCTCTAGGAGTAAAGTAATAACATCTGAACTATCTCAGTTGCCTCCAACTTTTCAATTTCCCCCCTTCTTTCTCTTGCTTTGGGATTTCTTAATTCCTTGAGTGTACCTGGAGTGGATTTTGGTTTTGTTGCCATAGCTAAAGTTTGGGCGGTTTGTTTCTGAGAGCATCTGCTGCTGAAGGTAATGTTGATTGGTTTTCCCCCAGGTTTGATGTTTTAGTATGATATGCAATAATTAATTAGAAAGAGTTATACTGTTGATGTATGAGTTAGCTAGAATTACTAGGAAAGAAAAGGTACACCCAAGAAGTGTAAATCCAGTGAGCTGTGGTAGTAGAAAGGGGTCACAAACACTATGGAAAATATCATGATATTCTATACACTTGTAGCGCAGGTTGAAAAGTGCTTTGTTTTGAGCTGGTTAGCCAGCTTAAAATAGGCTGTTCATCAAAATAGGGGATGCCATTAAAGTAATTATGGGGTTAGAGAGTGTTTTCCTCTAAGAAAAGCTGCCACCAGCTTTCTTCCTCCGGATGCCCTCTTGGTATGTTGGAAGTTAACTTCCGTTATTCCCAGACAACATGGCAGCCATGTGGAAGCCATGGGAGCAATGGCCTCGAACTGGGGGAGTGTGACCTGTATCCATCTCTGGTTCTTCGTTTGGACAGAGAGAGCAGCTGTGGTTTTAGGTGCACTTGCCTGGAAGTATCTCCTGGTAGATCTGGTAGACCTTGCTTTGGAATGAACCCCAGTAGAATTGCACTGGAAAGGGAAACATGATGGGAATCTGATTGAACCATCCCTGGGATAGAGGGAGTGAGCAGAACTCCGCCTCGAACAAGAGGAGGACAGGTTGAAGGTGGCCATTCCCACATGTTCTCTTTCACTTTTCATGTTGACCCTCTGGGGTGATGCGTGCTATGGTGCCGTTTTGTGGCTTCTGTCCTTCCTCCTCATATTCCAACTCGTCTCTGTTCTTATGTTCCCTGTGCTACCTTAAGTACAAAATTGGGATGTAAATATCCAAATAACACACTACTGTAAAATGTGGCAAACGCTTGAGGTTAGCTAGTCTATTAAAAAATGGGAAAATTTAGGAGAGATGCTATGTTAGTTCCTATCCCTGTTGACTCAGCGGAGGGAACAGGTGCTCTCCGGATGGAAAGAACCCTCTGCATCCCAGCTGAATCTTGCTTTCATTACCTTTGAAAGACAGGTGCTGGGGACTGTCATTGCTTTCATTACCTGCTTGTGAGAGGAATGTTGGTAGATGGCTAAATTTATGTGAGCCGTCCCGAGCAATGGGATGGCATACAAAAATTCTAAATAAATAAATGAAATAAACAAACTGTAATGCTAGACCATTGTGGCTTCCCCAGCAGTTCTGTGTTGTGCAGTTTGGCATATGCTGACACAGGAAAGCACAACTCATTCCAGCTCCTAGTTTGTGTGGCTGTTACCTCCAGTGGGGAAAATCCATAAAAGATTCATTGGAGGGCCTTGCTAAAAATGTGAAAACTTCACACAGATTGCAAAAGCCAAGAAAAGTCATAAAGATCAACAAGGCCTTTGATATGTTGTTGATTTCATATTCCCATTCCACTACCAACGTGGGGGCTTGCCTGGTGATCGTGATATCAAAGACGACATGAAAGACGAAATAGCCGCTACGGTTTTCTTCATCACACGGCTGGTGAAGAAGCATGACAGGCTGAGCAAGCAGCAGGTGGAGAAGTTCGCATCCAAGCTGACGACGATGCTGTTTGAGAGGTACAAAAAGCACTGGTACCTCGACAATCCCTCAAAAGGTCAAGCCTTCAGGTGAGCCTCACAGGTGCGCCCCTCACCCACTGGCCCCATCCTCTGGCAAGAGAGGGGCTCTCTGCTCCTCTGTCTCACCACCGCAACTGACTGGGCCAGGATAAGAGGTGGGGCAAAGCAGGCTGCCAGGGGGAAGAAGAGGAACAGTTCCAGGGAACTATTCTGACCTTCGGAAGTGGCCAGGCCCGGCTTCTGCCGATGTCACCCGGGACTCCCACCGCCTCTCTGCGGCATGGTTTTTGTCCTCTGATCAGTGGTCTCAGCACAGAGCCAAAGCAAATATTTAACACCCCCCCCCCATGCCACCGCACCCTTTTCTGTTTGCTCAGGTGTATCAGGATAAACCAATTCCAGGAAAGAGACCCTCTGCTGGAGCAGGTGTGTGCAGAGAGCAACGTGGACTTCAACAGCCTGGGCTTACCGAAGGAGCTGACGGTCTGGGTTGATCCATTTGAAGTGTGCTGCAGGTGCGGCTGTTGGAGGGAAAGAGGCATTGTGCCTGGATGGATCGGCCTTCTGGCTGCTTCGGGGAAGGGGTTTTCCCAGACTCTTTGGCCAGAACTTTTGTTTTTTACATCCCTGATATTTTAGACGTTTTAAAGCACAAACTAGACCTTGGAGAGGTGGGGAGAAATTTTAGTTTACAATGGAAATAATTCAGATGACTGTCTAAAAGGTGCCCAGTAAAGATGACATACTGCAAGGTCTGAATTAACTACTTGCACCCCTAACCCCTTTCTCCAACTTGGCACTTTCCAGATGTGTTTGGCTAAAAGACCCAGAATCCCCCAGTGCAGCACAGAAGTTCTGGGAATTGTAGTCCAACATGTCCAGGTTGGGGAATGCCCACATAATCAAGTGACTAGCTTGAAATTCTCTTACGTTGTCAGCTTACTGGCTGGCTTGAACTTTCCAAGTGCTTCTCTTTTCCAAGTCTCTGCCTTCCAACTCTAGCTTTGGGCCTACCTTACAGGGCTGTCAGACGTATTTCTGCCAGATGAAGACGTGAAATATTCTGAACGCCCTGGGTAGCAGGAAAAATGCCAGAGACTGGAGTTAAATAAGAATAGGCCCCTGTAAAATGGAGCCATTCCGAGCAAACTGGTGCAGGCAAGTTTGTGTTGATGGCCACAGAGAGGAGATTGGCTGTGTCCATCGGCCATTTTGTAGTAGTGCAATTCTGGTTGTGCTGGACTCCATCCCTGCAGCCATCTCAAGCTTTGCCCAATGCACCGCTCTGTCCAGGTACGGTGAGAAGAACGCACCTTTCACGGTGGCTCACTTTGAAGGCAATGAAGAGGACCGCGACATCTCCCACGGCATCCGCCAGGCTGTGGAGAAGGTCTTGACCTCCGACTTCCAGTCCAGCACCTCTGATGAGGAGGGCTCCACCATGCAGCCCAAAAGCATCCCGACCGTCAGCAACCCAAAGAGCGTTTACCAGGTGAGAAGGCTGCGGGGCTTGACCTGGGTGTGTGCCGGGCTTGCTCTGAGGGAGACCCCAGGAGCTGGGCTGGGACAGGCTCCCTTGGCTGGATGTTCTCGCCATTGCTAAGGACTCGCCCGGACAGGACGCCACTAAGGCTGAGCTAGCAAGGTGTCTGCTCCAGAGAGATTGCTCTTTGCAGAAATACAAGCTGCAGAAAAAGATCCTGTTACGTGGACATGGAGGGGCCGCAGGAAGAAAAGTTTGATCTTGTCTTTGAGCTTTTCTCCCCTGCCCTTCAGCCAAAGGCCTTTCAGAGTGACGTGCATAGTAAGCATGGGAAGAGGCAAGACAGGGAAGGGGAGAGGGGTGGAAAACAAGCCAACTGAGGTGCTGGTTGGTAAAGTGACCAGCGGGTGTCGCTTTGGAACTTGTTGGGAGCTTGCCCGGCTTTTTGCTTAGCTGCTGGCAAAAGTTTTCATGGAAGCAGCCCTGGAGGAAGAATCTGCTCTAGGCATGAGGAGCCCAAGGCAGCTTCAGGAATGGGAGGAGAACAGCCTGACTTCCAATCTACCTGGTTACCCTAGGTGACTAGAAATGGTATGCAGGTGAATAGACAAGCAGGCAGAGGTGAGACAGGGATCACTTTCTAACAAACAGGCTGCTTCCCTCTCCTGCCCAGTTTCCTAAACCAGCTGGATAAGAGTTGAACATCCTATTTCCATGATAGTGGAAGGGGACTAACCTGCCCCCCCCCCCCCCCCCCCCCCCCCCCCCCCCCCGCACAGCCAGAATCCTGGGTGTTCACATGCACCGTAGCTAAACTCTCAAAGGCCAATGGTGTGCTGGTACTTCTAAATTCCTGGAACTGGCATTTATGATTATGCTATCCTTGGGCACCAAATCAAATAGGAAGCTCCATAAATGCGGTCGCATGATGACCATTTATACATGGACGTGAGACAGCGTCAATACCGAGGGAGAAGTCATGGCTGCAAGCTCTTTCTGTGCCTGAAATAATAGTAATAGTCAGAGTATTTCCATCAGTGATGGCAGATCCTGACTAGGCCAAAATCCAAAGCCAGGTTTGATGGAGCTCTTGTGGACACCCTGAAATGGTGCAAAACATGCCAACCTTTCCATCTCTTCAACTTCTCTGTCTGATCTCAGTGTGGAAAGCCATTCCAGGCGTGGGCTCATTATTCTCTCCGGAAGGCACATGTTCCTGGTGGAGTCCACCCCAATCCTTCCAGTACTCACTACCTTCCATACAAGGCCTACAAAACCTGCTGGCCGTCGGCCGTGTTCTCTGGTCCTCGCATCGACAGATACCACTGGGTCAACGCCAACCAATAATACAGAGATACTGTCCTTCCTGCTAAGTTCTGAGTGCAGGGGAAGAACGAAGCATTGGATCCTGGAAGGAAGTTGATGGCTTCACCCGAAGAAAAACCTCTTAGAACACGTAGCACAAATCTTCTCTCAGTTTTTAAAAAATGTCTTGTATGTTTGTAACTTTTAAATAAGCACGTCATGCTAAAGACTTTTTAAAAATGATTTTTAAATGTAATTTTATGGTAAGATGGAATACTGAACTGTAGAAAGGCACTTGTGGAAGTCTTGAAAAGGAAATTCAGTTACTAATAAAATGAAATGTGTGTTTTTAAGAACTCTTCTGGCTTCTTGATGAAGAGGCGAGGGCAGAAACACTGAAAATAAATATACCATGGCTTTCTGAAAGAAATTTATTAAAGGGGGTGTAAAGGATGGCACATGGATTTTCTTCCCTGGAATGGGGACCAGGAGATGTTGATCGAGTCTTGGGTTCTGCCTGATTGATGGAAGGTTGCTGCTGAAAACACCCAAGCGGCACTGCGCTGCTATTCTATCTCCTTCCCTTTAACAAGCTTTCTGCTGGTGAAGGGGAGACATGAGAAGTGGCCAGAGGAAAAATGCTTGCAATGGGCCACTGAAAGACCTGCCTGCAAGCAGGTCACCGCCATGGTTGCTGCAGTGCCTGGGAATGATGCCCGGCCTGAGACTTGAGCCCGCCAGAGCTAAGCAATGTTTCTCGGGACAGGAGGCTTCGGTGGGCGCTCATTCGCAGGGCTGCCACAAGCCGGTGGCACAGAACTGGGGCACTGTGGTGGGTGCAAAGCCGAGGTGGCTCGGCCAGCACGGTTGATTTGGTTGCCACTTGCAAGACAGTGGAAAGAAAACACACAGCCGTCCTTTCGGAAGAAGACAGACGTGTGTTGCAGCTTCTGCTGATGAAGAACCTGGCTGTAGCAAAATGGCCGTGGAATTTTGCCTCCCTGGAGAAATTTGGTGAAATTGTCCCCTTTCACTGGCCAGCTGATGCATCATTCGCAGCCTTTTATGACGTGTCTGTCCAGATGCTGTAAATATTTGCATTTCCGGAGCTTCCCCTCTGGTTAGGCTTTGCATCTTGCCCCACGACACTGGGGGTACACCTGCCCCCTTCCTTGTTCTAAAAGGCCATGGCCACACTCCCAAGTGCCACCTGAAAGCTATCAGAGATGAAGCAGCTACTTTTAAAATGAAATCTTTTCCTGTGCTTCCTTGTGTCCCCACGTTGTCTGGTTTTGGAGGTCAAGTGTCAGCAAGATGTGGAAGGGAAGGGGAGAAGCACTGCAGTAGCGGAATCTGCTATTATAATTGCACAGATATGCTAGCCATTGATTTTTTAATCTGGGGAGGGGTCTTTGTCCTCCCTGGACTCCTTGCGAGAAGGGTAAGATATCAATCCAGCAAAGAAAGAAAATGGCTGGTGCAGGCAGAGAAACAACTGAAGCACAGCTCTGCTGGCTTTCTTCCTCCACTCCCACTCAGGAAAGGATCCAAGAGGCTCATTCAGGCCTCCTTGCCTTTCCCCCCTTCCCCACCAGCACTTCTGCTTCCCTCTGCGAAGAGTCCTCCTCCGAGCTGGTGACCTCAGCCTGCTCCAGTGGCGAGTCTCTGCGAGCAGAGCCCTTGGAGGCTGTCGGGTTCTTCCGTGGGAGTTTTCCCAGCTTCTCCCTCTGCTGGGCACTGACACCGTTGTCCGCTGCAGCTCCAGGGATGGCGGGTGGGGGCCTTGCAGCCGTCGGACTCATGAAAGGGAAGGACACAGACTCGAGCCTTCCCAGTTACAGGGCGTTTTTCCCAGCAGGAAACATACCGAGCTTGGAGCGGGGCGTCCCCAGTGTGCCTCTTTCTTCAGCCACGGACTCCCAGATTCCCCCAAGCCAGTGCCCTCCAGATGTGGCTGGGGGATGCTGGGGGTTGTGGTTCAACACATCTGCAGGGCAGCAGGTGGGGGAACACTGCAATGCTGGATTAGCCGACCTGTTAGCACCTACCCCCCATTCTCTGCTCTATGGGGGTCCTGCCATGGGCCTAACTGGGAGGGCTGGATGATGGGAAAAGGAGAACCAGAAAAGCAAGGCACCCAGCCAGCCAGCCCATGTGTGCCATGGAAGAGAGCAATTACCAGGCGACTGGTAATTGCCTAAGTCATCATTTAGGGGAACAAAAACCCTTTTACTTCCTAGGGGCCACTTAGCTTTCTTCAGATGCATTGGAAAAGTATCTTCCCAGGTCTCTCCTATACAGAAATGCACCCATGGCGTGATTTGGTAACACAGAGTGCATCTGCTAGGAACTGGCTTCTCTCTTTGTCTCCCCGCTTTCTGTGTGTGTCATTGTGAGATTCCCCCACTGAAGGAGCAGCTTCGCCTGCCCTGCACCTTCTCCCACAGGCCAAGGCTGAAGCCGTGCAGCTCCGCCTTGGCTTGTCCTTCAGCTTACCTGTGCCAGACTGGATCCAAGCAGGTTCAAGGGGGAGGGACCACATGAAAGACAGCTGAACCAGCCTGACATTGTGTACAGCTCACCTCCCTGCCGGGACAGTTTCGTGAATGTCCGAGTCGAGGTGCGAAGAATGTTCCTTTTTCTCGGGAGACAGGTTGCTTCTGAGCAATGGCGCATCCAGCAAGAGGCCCAAGTGCTGCTTCAGGTCTTGGGTGTTCTGTATGCAAAAGAAGGCGAGCTGAGACAAGGCAATTGGTTTTCTAGCGCCACAGTTGAACAGACAGAAGATAGAAGAGGCATTTCTTCCGGGATTCTGTAGGAAGGTGGGGACTTCTCCACTGCCTAGATGTGCGGAATGGAGAAGAGCCCAGCCCGTCACTCTGAACTCCAAAGAGGGGCTGCCATGAACATTTCCCCCAAACCCACTGCTTCCTTATTAATAGGAGCCAGGTAAAGCAGGACATCTAAGGCACTGTGGGCCCCCTTGGCCATCTGATGGGGAGGAGGAATATATTGGGGGTGTTTATATTTGTAAATATACCCTGTAGGGCAGAAACACCTTTGTGGCGCACTCCTGTGTCTGCGTACCCAGAAAAAAATCCCACAATCCCCAGCATGGCCCAACCAGGGTAGCAGAGGGGATTCTGGGAGTTGTAGGCCTTTCTTCTGTCCGGCTATGCAAAGACTGCCCCTCGGGGCTCTCTAGGGTCCCACTTCTAAGCCAATGGAACCTCAGGCATCCTCAGGGACTGCTCGGTGCTTGGACACACATCTTAGTATCTAAGTGTTTCGGGAGGCCCTCTGAAAATGTCCTAGAGTTCTCCACAGCTTTTCTTTCTGGGAAGACGGCCAGTTTTTCTTTGTGTTAGCCCGAGACAACCTGGGAATGGATGGAGAGCAGGCTGGCGTTCCTTTGTGTGCATCTGAAAAATTACCTTCTCCGTGTCTGTGGAAGGCTTCGCCTTGGCATCAGAAAGCCCGGAGAAGAGATTGATCTGCTCGTCTGCGATTGCCTCTCTCTTCAGGAAAGCCTCATTAATCATCTTCACAGCAGACTTGCTGCCCTCCAGCATCGCTGCTGACTGCAGCCTGAGGGAGAACATTTCACCCAGGCAGGTCTTGAGTGCCTTGGAGGCAAAGATAAATCGCACAGTTAAACATGCACACCCACACCCATCCCTAAGTACGTCTGATGCAAAAATGATTTCACGCAAGCAGAAATTCAGGCAAGTGCTGAGGGCAAAGGAGGGGGGAATGAGACGGATGGAGAAATGGCCAAATGACTTTTTGGTGGGGTGCACGGTACAGCGAATTCACTGTCGTCAATGGAAGGGCTTATGTTGCAGGTAAATCACGAACAGGAGATGATACACCTGGGTGGACCTGCCTCCCGTGTCCCAGTCTTTCCTGGCCAGGCCTCAGAAGCGCTGCCAAGGTGCCCACTGACAGATGGGAACAGTTCCGTACCTGGTGGAAGAGCCTCCGAAAAGCAGGGCTGGAATCGTGGCTGAGATCGCCTGCTGTGATATGGGCCAGGCTGTGGACCACGAGCAGCAGGAAGCTTCCCACACAGCGCAGGGCCTCCCTTGAAATGAAGAGCTTGTGCCCAGGATTCTGCGGGGGAAGGTGAAATGCTTGGAGGAAAACAGAAGGTGACGCAGAGTGATGCTTGGTCTTCAAGTCTCTGTGACAGGGATGGGCAACCGGTGGCCCTGGGATGGCCTCATTCATGACGCCAAAAGAGAGCAAAGGCACCCCCCAAAAGGCAGGCAAAGGGGGATCCACACTGGGGTAACATTTGCACAAGCAGAGTTATATAAAGAGGTGCAAATTCAGTAATTATGTTTATGTGGGTGGGGGGACCACACATGCAAGCTCAGCCAGGAAGACTGGAACCGAGCTGTGCACTCATCCAGCCTGCCGCCCATGGGCTGGGCAACTCCAGGACTGCTCTCCTTACCCAGGGTCCCCCTCTTTATACTGGATTTGAACTAGACAGTCTATCAAATGGAGGATGTCATCAGAGAGAGGCCCATCCCTCCGATGGAGGACTATCCGCCGCAAAGCAAGACACCTGGTTACCCTACGTACTCCATATTGTTGGTCTGCAACTCTCATGGCCCTTCCCAGCATGAAGAACGGCGGTGGGAATTTTGGTCTGACAACCTCTGGTCCTAAGTTGCCCACTCCAGTTTTTAGGCCCACTTCGGAAGAAGCTCTTCTTCCTGCCATGTCCAACCAGCCTTTCCCCCTCCTTCCCCTGCTTCACCTCCTCCCCTCCCTGTGTCATCTGCCATGCAACAGTAGCATCGGTTCCCAGACAAGGAGTTCGTGCACGGCTGGATGTTGGGCTGTGAGCTCACTGCCCTTCGTCTCCGCTTAAAAAGGGCTAAGAAACAAGCTGGTCCAAGAGGCGACACACTCCTATTGCTCCTCCCACCACGCGTGTTGGAGATTCCACCCAAGGTGACCATACCTGATAATAGAAAGAGTTTCGGAAGGCGTTCCCTGGCGCGCCACTGGGAGGGATACTGGAGGCTATGCACAGCTCAATCTCCGGGCCCTAAAAGGGAAGGAGAACACTTGGCAAGGTTCATTCAGATGTGGAGGTTCAAATGGGTGGAAATTCTACTGGGGATTGTTTTGCCTTCTAAAGGATGGGCATAGCCAGAGCTCAACCAACATCTGGATTGAAATCTACAATAAAAATGTACATCAGTCTTCTCTAACCACCAGGTTGGACCACAACTGTATAATTCCCCAGCCAGCAGAGATGTACCCAGCAAATCTTACAGGGCTCCAGGTTGGGAGAGCATGTATGCATTGAGATCTTTTAAAAGTAACTGGATCCAAAAGCAAAAATATGTTCAGGTTTAAGTCTGGAAATGTGAGCTAGGAACTTGCTCTTTAAAAATGAAGTCCAAACCAAGCCACAGGTTGTGAGCTTTGCAGAGTCTGCTCAGGAATGGCCAATCGCACCTGCTGCACAGTTGCTCTTTTGGAAAATTTCCACTCTTTGACCACTTACACCAACATGCGGCCTGAGGAATTGCAGAACAATGATGCCATATTGATAAATTACAAATTCCCTTGCAGAAAGACTTGATGCATGCAGAGGTTCGAGCTGCCCCGATTTTGGAATCATCTGAATGTCCATTATATCCTGGAAAGAGTTTGCTGCCTCTGCAAGAAAATGAAACATTAGCTGGTTCCCTTGTGCCCCGACTTGCATTTTGGCATTTTCATGCTTTGCATTGCTTGGGGGATGCACCCATCTTGCCCCCAACATTGTTCCCACCCCAAAAGCAAACCAACAAAGACAGGCATTTTTTTAAAATCTGCTTGAAGAGTAACAGCTGCATTTGATTTTGCAGGTCAAATTTGTAAATAGGTTGGAACCGTTTGAGAAGGAAGGAGCTAACGGAGAAGAAGGATGTGGTGATCAACTGACAACCGGGGAGATGGAAGTTCTTCCCGGACACTGGTGTGTTTAAGCACAGGGGGAAAATACAGTGATGGTTTTAATCTCATAGCCCATTAGGTGTGAGAATCTGGAGAAATCTCCAGGCATATTGATGTAGCACCACTAGTATTTCCACAAGCAGTGGGAAGCAAGAAAGGGCATTCCAAAGACGTCAAAGACTTCAAAACATGATCCAGTGCATGTTATTTAGTTCAGTTCTTTCTGATATGACTGCATTTATGAAGGGGGGAGGGGGAGAAAGAGAGACTGGTCTGTGGTCACCCTGGGAGGCTCACAACTGAACACAGGTTTCTCCCCTATGTAAGTCTAACGCTGTCACTGCTGCAGCACCCCCAAACTTTGCTCCCCATTTAGGCTGTGCTTGCAGAGTCCCAGGAGGATGGGGGAACACCAAGTGCTATGCAGTGTTTATATCATGAGGACAACTTGTCTGATGGTAGTAACTTTAAGGCCCCCGAAGCAAGCTGTACATGTCGGACCCACCTTCCCGCTATAGAAGAAAAGAAGAAGCTGTCCATGGTGCTGAACTGAAGTCTTTGCATACCGAAAGCAGAACGAGGAGGAAAGCGTAGCGGAGGAATTCAAAGGGTTTACCCTCTCCCGGAGGACGGACGTCGAGTAGTCCAACTGCTGCTGCACACTTCTGCATCTGGCAATTCACATCTTTCAGGAGAGCAAGGAGCTGGGAAGACAGCATCCCACCAGCATCCTTGGCATCTACACAGGCAGGAATAAATGGGTTTCTTGGCAGATTTGCCAGCCCTGTTTAGCTATCCCCACCAGCCCTGTTAGGGTGTGTCCTGGCAGACACATGAGTCTCCAATCCATCTGAAAAGTCAGACACGAGATTATGACATCAGGGCGCTCTTTTGGGGGCCTTACCAGGGAGACGAGGTCTAATCCAAGGATTCAGGAGGACAATTCGCACCGTCACCAGCAGTTCAATTTGTTTTAGGATCCTGATATCTGCAAGGGAACAGCATCAGTCTTGTTCGTGTGGTCCTGGGCAAGAATGGTCGCTGTACCAATGCTCTTCTCACCCTTCCTGTCTGAGGTAGGACCTCAGAGTGAGATATAGTGGAGCTGAGTACAGCCTGGCCTGGGTATTTGATCCACTTAGCACCGGCTCGGCACTGGCAGCATCCGATAGCCTCCAGTGTGGCTGCTGATCTGAGGAATCCGAAGCAACTCCAGCAGCCTCCCTGTTTGTGCTAACAAAGACTCAGTGGCCGCCACTGTGCACTAATTTACGACAAGGGTTACAATGACGCCCACAAAGCCATGGACAAGCCCTTCTGCCAGCTGCCAATCAGACCTACTTTCCGCCAAGAAGGATCGAATTCTCTCCTCCTCAGCCAGGCCAGGTTGGTTTTGTGAGGAGACGGCCTCAGACACTGAGGGATTTCCATCTTGTCGACTGGAGTATTTTCCTTTTTGCTCTTTCTCCATCCTCCACTTAAGCTTGCGTACATCTTGTTGAAATGCCTTGCGCAGGAAGGTCACTGTCTCTTCATGCTCTCTCATCAGTTTCTGACCAGAATAAGGGTTAGGGACACAGTCAATGCCTGTGGTTAAGCGGCACCCCCTTCATGGACCCTCTAACTGTGGATCCCAGCCTCCTCAGACCTGAGCCGGACCTCTTGGAAAGAACCTCGGAAGGCTTCCATTTGTCTATGTGGTTTGGGAGGGCCTTTGGGATAGCAGGGGTGAGTTCTCAATCAGTAGCTTGGAGGTGGTTGGTGCTGGAAGGGGAATGGGCAAGAATCCCCAGGGTCCCTCTTCCTTCCAGTTGGAGTGTTACTCCTACAGGAGAACATGCTTCATGCAACCCTCTTTTTCCCTGGGGAGCCAGCGACTGGGAGTTCCACATCTTTTCCAGTGAGCCTTTAACAATATATTTCGTCCTCAAAAGGATGAACTGCATCCCTGAATCATCTTGTTGCAACGGAAGCATTCTGCAAGTCAACTCTCACCTCCTTGGACCATTTCTGGATTTCTCCCCTTTCCAGCTGATCATGCAGTTTTGCTTTTTCCTCCAATATTCGGCCCCTGTAAGAGTTCTCCAGCTCTGAAAACTGAGCTGCATGGAAACCTTTCCACTTCTCTTTCCCTATTCTCTCCTTCTCTTCTTTTTCAAGCAGGGAACCTTCACTCTGGAAGGCACAAAACAACCAGCATGAGAGCCCTGATGGACTGCCCACAAGGGAATGCAGCTTCTGGTGGAGAAAAGGTCCTCTAACTCTGGCCTGCAGAATTAGACCTTTCAAAACCAAGAAAGGCCACTGTGTTGGAATGTCTCTCCATCACACCACCAGGTGGAATTCTAGAGGATTCTCCTCATGACCAGATACATATCTAGGCTGCAATCCTACAGACACTCCTCTGGGAGCAAGTCCCTCTAAATCCAATGGGATTTTCTCTGAGAAGACACATCTAACATTGGTCTCAATCCTTCCGAGAAGAGTCATACCTTGTTGGACTCAGTCTTCTAAAATACGGACAAGATACAAATCTAGTTACACTATGAGGACATGTAGTGCCATTAATCACCTTTCAGAAGCAGGGCAAATGCAAATGATCTTAAATATTATTTTTCAAGGATATAATTGTAAATATTAATACGTGGGCACATTTCCAGAGAAGCTTCACCATGCAGAAAAATGTCTCTTTTTGCAATCCTACCTGGGGTGGGCTGGGGTTGTCGGAGGTCTCCTTTGGGCTACCCAGGAAATTCCTCAATTGCTCTTTCATCTCTCTGGTTTTCTGCTGCCTGTGCTCCTGCAGTTGAACAGCTACCTGGGAAGCATCCTCCAGACGCTGTGATACAAAGACCAGGTTGGAAAGGACAGTAAGGCAAAACAGAAGCAGAGCAAAGACGGAAAGCATGGAGACACAAAAGCCGAGCCTTCCGTCATCAAGGCCAGTGGGAACCTTCGCACTTAGCACAGTTCCTTTTGTGTCACTCCAAGCCACCATTCCGGGAATGGATATTTTGGCTTGCCTTTGTAAAGCTGTACTCTGCCTTTGGGGCAGCAGCTGTGCAGAGCAACTTATGAGAAGGACATGCTATGCTAAAATCGAGGTCAGTTCTTAAACAGGAAAGCCATGTAAAAACCTTTAGGAACAGAAACAAAGCTTTCCCCAGACAGAGATGTGATCCTCATGTTCATAAATGCCGGCAGCAACGACGCGTGTTGCTAAGCCTCCCTAGGGGAGGAAGGCTAGCAGACGGGGCCACCACTCACGAGGTCCCTCTACGCATGGCCCAGATAGCCATAACCTGCTGGAGGAGAAGTGGCAGGGCCCTGAAGACCTGGGCAGCAGAGAGAACGAGCCCCGTGTTCTCACGGTCTTCCGCACGATGGCGAGACGCACCAGGTCTCCATTTCCAGTACGATAGTATTTCCTAAAGCAGTGGCTAAAGTGCAATTTATGCAAACCAGTGTCCCCTTTCTGGGGAGCAGCCACCCTGCCCTTGCCGGCCCGAGGTTACTCCCTTGCACCCTCTGGCCAGGGCGGGCCAGCCGGCAGTCCCCAGCCCTGGCCGGTGCTTCCAGGTTGGCAGGTGCGCTGGCTGATTTGAGCAATGAGCATGTGTCTTGGCTCCTTCAGTGCCACCTCTCGTGGCCTTCGTGCCCCTCAGCCCTGGACGGTGTGGGCAGCAGCTGGGCACCTGTCGTTCTGCAGTCCCCTTGTCGGAGGGCTGAGCCCCCAGCATCCGGACCATCTCCTGGAGCTGCCTCTCCCTCAGCCGGAGCATCCGTGCAGCTTGCTGCAGCTCCAGCAGCAAGCGCCTGCACCCCTTCCGCGCCTCCACCAGCTGCGCGACAGCATCCATGTCGTCATCCTCCAGCGGCTCCTGAAGCATGAAAAGGCCTGGATTCAGGATGGTCCCAGCCTCTCTGGATTAAGCCTAGAAGAGAGCCCTGCTGGATTATACCAAGAGCCTAGCCCAGCCTCCTGCCTCCGACAGTGGCCAGCCTGCTCGGAATGCATAGAAAGCTTCCTTGCCCGGTCATTCAGCCCCAGCACCTGGAGAGACGCTACCTCTGAACAAATTCCTATGGCAGCCCTGGGTGTTGCCAGAGATTTGCATTTGTGAGAACCACCGAGAGGTACTACAAAAAATATCAAGAAGCCCTCAAGCCAGCCTTCCCCAATCTGGTGCCCTCCGGCCATGTTGGACTGCAGTTCCCATCAGCAGGAATGATGGAGCCCATGCACGACAGATATGGAAGGCACCGGGCTGGGGGAGGCTGCGTGCTGCCAAATTGCACAAAGAGAGAAATGTCCTCACGTCCAGGACCCCTGGGGCCGTCGGACCCGCGATCTGGAGCGCGAGGCCACCGGCGAGGACAAGGACCGCTTGGCGCAGGTGCCTCTGAGTTAGCAGGAAATACGTCACGTGCTCAGCAGGGAGTCCAGCGAGCCTCTCTGCAGCCTCCTGCATCACTTCCCTTTCTTTGGCCTCCACCTGGAGAGAGAGGACACATGGGGAAGCCTTTGAAGACGCTTGTTTCCAACCACACGCAGAGCGTGGAAGACGCTAGCACGGAGGTCTTGGGTCACTTTTAGCCTGGGTAGAGGCCTTCCGCTGGGAGCAAGGACACAGCCAGCAAGCCCACAATACCCAAAGTATGTTTTAGCAGCCAAGTAACGGAGCCTTAGGAAAACCGTTGTAACCTTTTGAGACATGAGGCTCTTTACCCATCACCTTACCAAGGGTTTTTCCTCCAGATTATTTGCATTAAAACCATTTCCTTTTCACATTTGAGTGTGTGTGCAGAAGAATCTTTTCCCACCCCTCTGTACATTTCATTATACGTCCACAAGTTTGCATGGTGTTATTGTAGTGCTGTGAAACTACACACAAAACTTTCTTCCCTTTCCAGATCAGGCAACACTTTCCTTGATCTAAAACCAGGCACAGAAACATTTAGAAGGCACTGAAAGAGGGTAACATGCAATGCCAAGCAAATGGGCTGTTGGGGGGGGGGTCCCCTACCCTTCTTCCAAGCAGATTGCTCCCAATTGCAGTCCTCTAAAATGCTTCTTAGTTTTGAAAAAACAAAAACAAAACACAATGAAAACAAAACTCATAATCTACACAAATAGAAAACAATATAAATAGTAAAATTATTATTATCATCATCCGTTATCAACAATAACAATTGTCTCATTAATAATAATAATAATAATAATTGATGATGATAATGAAACAATACAATAACAGCAGTGCTATCTTCCATCAGGACCAACAGATACATGATACTTAGTATAAAATCATTTATTCATCCAGGCAGCTTCCACTTCCCTTCCAAAATGGCAGTGCCCCTTGTGAGGGCACATACCCATTTCCCTGTCCTAAAACGTATTCAGTATATGTTCTCCAAATATCATCAGAATTATTTTTACTTATCCAGCCCTTTTTCAACTTAATGTCGTAAGTTACCTTATTGTTAGTAGCTATATTCCAAACTCATTTATTTAATAGTCACATTTTACTTTCCACTTTCTTGCTATCATTAATCTTACTACTGTTACCAAATGTGCCATCCGGTCTTTAATATTTTGTCTTTGTGGTGGTAAAGCTGGCCAGTTAGGCTGGCTTTGTGAAACAAAAGAGGAATATTGCAGAGGTCTTTATAGTGAAACCTTACAGTTGGGAAGGAACACCTGGGTACCAGCCAGCAAATCTAGCACAGTTGCAGTACCTGGAGCCCCAGTCCCTGGGAATAGGTGGGATATGCGTAATAATGATAATAATACCTTCTCCTCTATCTGTGCCTGCAGCTCCATTTGGATCTGGACTCGCAGCTTCCTCAGATCAGCCTCCTCCCTTCCTCTGAAGCAGGCACGTGGATCCCCGTCCGCTTGGCGCTCTTGGATGAAGTTCACAGCTTTCTCCACCTGCTCTGCTTCTGCTGACTGGGCCACATCCCAGGCCACGGTTTCCCCCGTGACTTGGTAGCATAAGCTGTCCAGAGCCTGCAGCACATCTTCAGGGCAAGTTCGTCTCTGGAAGCACAAGGTGGAGAAACGTACATCGATGTTAACAGAAGCATCGCTGGTGAAGGAGCTGCTACTGACCAAAGTCTGTTAAGGGAATGAAGGCAGAACATGCACGAGCGACAAAATCGCCCCGGGAGAGTTTGGATGTACCTGGAAGCGGCTGTAACAGTCCAGAACTCGGTATGTCCACACTTGCTTTGCAGCTTCTTCCTTCAGCATCTTGACTGCAGCAGTTCTCATTCTCTGAGCTACCAAGCCTGCACCGAATTTGCCCTCCAGGTGTGTTTCCTGTGAAGCACAGGTATTGTTAGTGGGTGGCCCACCAGAAGTGGAGTCCTGCATGTCCGGGGGACCATCTGCCTGCTCACTCGCTGCCCAGGGGCACCTGCTGAACTAAAGGTGCAGGGGCTCTGATAGTCTCCACTGCATCCAGCCCCCAAAGTAGCTGGTCTTTCGCCTCCCCCTGCACCCGGTCTGCTGCACCCGCCACCTTCGCCTGGCTGCAAGCGAGGGCATGGAGACACAACAAAGATCAAGAGGAGCCCTGTTGCACAAGCGTGCACGCGCGCGCGTGCGCACACACACACACGAGACCAGAATCTGGCACCCCCTTGCCATTCCTTGAGAAGACCCTCCTGCTTAGAGTGTTCGACCTTTTAGGAGCGTGCAAAAGCAACGCACCCCTTTCTCTCCTCTGCGCCCTCACCTCTTCTTCTCCAATACTTCCCTCCCCACTCTCCCCGCACAGACATGGTTCCCACCACTTCCTCCGTTTCACTGCAAAAGGGCTGGCCCCACAGAGAGGGGACTTAATGTCTAGTCCAAGTCCTCCTTTGTGTAATCCAAACCCTCACGTTCAGGTTCCACTCTCGGAAACACCAGTCTCCTCCGGTATTTTTTTTAACTTGAAGAAATTTTCTTTTATGACTGCCCCTGAGTGAACGGTTTTGGAAGGGCAGAGTGGTTGGCGTTTTGCCTAAGCTTGGGGCAAACTGGGGCTTGCAGATTTCAGACAGCCCTCTGTAATTCGAGAACTACCCGAATCCTGCCTGCACCACCAAATGCACCCATGCCAGCCTGCTACAGGTGAACCCACGTCCTTTTCCCCAGAAAGGGAACAGAGAGAAGGCAGTGAGACACCTGCAGAGCGGAGAGCCACAGGTGCCTTCCCACTCCAACTCACGCTCCTCTCCGCTGCCACAGGGGCTCTAGGGTCGGCGTGTTCTCTCTGCAGATGGGCATGAAGCAACACGAGGAGCTGCAGGGTTTCGTCTAGAGAGAACAAGGCACCCCCTTTGAGCACCACTTGATCAGGATCGAGTCCAACACAAGTAATTTCTTCCTGCTGCTGCTGGACGAGGTCTTCTTCAGCATGCCGGTGATGCTCAGCCAGTTCTAACAGGAGGGATTCCCACTCCTGGGCTACTTCCAAGTTCTGGCTGTGTGCCATTCCCTGGAAAAATGACAATAGGAATCCCATGAGGATATGGGGCAGTGCAAAGGTGGTGTCAAAGGGGACCCGGTCCATATCCCACCCGCAAAAGCATCCTGGAGTTGCTGCTTCTCTTCCTTGCAATGAGGTCGTTCGCCTGCTTCTGTCCAGGAAAGGAGGGCTGCTTAATGCACCAAACCCTCCTCCCTCGGACGCTGCTCTGTCTTGGCACGGACAGAATGTTCTGCATCTCAGCGGTGTTGGGCAAAAGGAACGGTGCGAGGCTGCAGGACTGCACAGCCTGGCTCCTTCCCCTTTTGTGCGCCAGCTACTCACATATTATTTAGCCAAGGAAAATAACATACGCTTGGTACCCAGAGCCAGAGCCACGAGTTGGAATGTCCAGGCACCTGCCAAGGGCCCACTGCCCATCCCAGCATGAATGTGCTCCTCCCCCTCTAACCCCTTGCAGCCTGCTTGCTCTCCGGCCCCTTCTCTGGCTCGGCAACGGAGGGAGTGAGAAGCAGACGACGCCAAGACGGCCGAGCTCCCCAGCCCTCTGCCTGCCAAGCAAGCCCGTGATGGCCACGATGGGAAAGAGGACGCACAGCTGGTGGCCCTGGTGCTAGGAAGGCCACCTTGGCTGGGGCCCTCCAAAACCGAAGAATGAATGGACGGAGCACCAGAGCGACAAGGGAGATGCCATGTTAGATGCGGGGCTGCATTTAACAGGTCTTGGTGCTGTTTGGTTTTGCTAAACTGCCTTTGCTAAATCTCCTCCAGTCAGAGCAGGGACACCAACGGAGCGCTGCCTTTAACTTCTGTGTCTTGCAGCACAGCCCTGTCCCCAGTCTGGGCCCCAGGACAATTTAACAAACCGAAGAATCAGACACGTGTAATCTAGTCACGTCGAATGCCTCACATCATCTGGTCCTGCAATGTTCCCCTCCACCATTTTCAATGTCTTTCTCTGTACTCATGAATGTGTATATATGTGTATATATTTAGCTAGAGAAATGTAGGTATGGCTAATTTGCTAATTAACATCGCCTCCATCTGATGAAGTTGGCTCTGGGCCCTGGGAATGTTTGCCACACCAAAGCTGCTCCTCCCCATTGTGCCAAAGGGCTGTCAAATTTGCAGCAAGATTTGCTGTTGTTACACAGAGTTCTGAAATGGGAACAGATAACCTGGTCAGGTAAGAGAGGACTAGACACAGGACCCTTTTGTTCACAGGAGGGGTCCTCAGTTTTGCAAAAATGGGAAAAAAACCTTCGCTGCCTCAATTTCATTAATTCATGGATCACATATTGTTAAACCCAGTCCCTGGCTTTTCTCCAAGGAGCCCAGAGCAAGGGAGATGGTACTTCCCCTCATTTTAGTCCCACAACAACCCTGCTGATGTCCCAGAGTCCTCCAGTGAGCTTCTGAGCCAAATGGGGCCTGGAGCTCAGGGTCCAACCCTCATCACTACACCACACCGGCTCCCATCAAAGGAGTCTCTCTCACCAGGTTCCTCTTGTGCTTGGATGATTCATGAAGGCAAGAGATCATGTTAATTTCCTCTGCCAGCAAGGAGAGCTGCAGGTGCACCATTTCACTGGCATGTTTCTCCAAAAACATCCTGTCCCAATCAGAGCACAATCATATCAGAAGAAATCAGTGTATTTATAAACCACTTCTGTGGAAAGAAGACGACCAGAACCTCCAGCTACGAAAATGGGGTAGACAAATTGCTGGACACAGAAAAGCATTACTTATAATCCTCCATGGCCAATCTCTTCCCTTCCCACCCCCATCTTAAAGCTTTCCTCCCTCTGTCATGTCCCCCAGCTGCTGAAATCCCCATTGCAAGCTCCTTGGGGCAGGAGCTGCAGGTTTCTTGTATTGTTTTGTTTTTAGCTTAGGTGCTGAGGACAATGGAGTAGAAAGAATAATAGTAATGGCTTTAAGCAGGCCAATTAATCCAATAACCACAGATTCGGTTCCTGTGCAGGAGTTCAAATTGGCTCCCTTACAGAAAACTAATTTAGTCATCTTGACCCATTTCTCAAGAAGAATGCTTGCATCTACCGCACAGGTAAAATTGATTATAACAGACCAGACACATTTCTAGTGAACAGCCTTCCTGCAACAAGAGCTGCTATAAGGCCATTGCCAGGTATTTCACACATCTGAGAATGAGAAAATTGATGGCTCCAGCCTTGGAAAAGAATAGCGTGTGGCTGAAATTCAGGACAATTTCTCTTGTCCAGGTTTTTTCACAGACGCAAGAAAAGAGTCTGTTTTGACACTGGCCCTGCTGTATATTAGGAAAGTGATGATTGTTCTCCATAGGTGTAGCATAATGAGGAAATTTCAAATAATGGTGGGTGATCCTTACTCCAAAGAGGACTGGCAATGGAGTGCCATCCGAGTAAGCAATGGGAACACCAAGGAAAATAATCATTGTGGTAATTCCTGAAAGGAATATTCTTAGATACTGAAAAAGCACAGCAGGCAGAAGTGCCCCATCAACCGACATCAAAAGGGCGACTGTGTTGGCACCTCATGGACCCCAGTGGAGAAGGCATTGCACCATCAAGGGGCCACCCCAAAGAAGGCCCTTTGTTGCCAGTTCGGTGCTGCATGACCCATGATCCCTGTGCCCGGACACTCCTGCAGTCCTCGGTCTGTGGATCAGCATGAGGAGTGCTGGCACTTCCAAACAGATCAGGCCAGCGAAGAAAGAATACCGTGGAAGCTCTTCTGGGGATGAATTCTCCCCATTTCCCAGCACTTCAAGCCAGAAGTGTCACTGCTGCTGTTAGGACCGGGAACCCTCCAGCTGTGCCAGACTACAACTCCCAGCATGCCCCAGCCAGCACGGGGGAAAGCTCCTTCAGGATTGTCCCCGCTGCACTGCTTTCATCCCCTCAAATGCAAGCTGGGCGCCAAGCACAATCTCCCTCTGCCCCGTCTCACCTGTTCTGGACTTCTTGCGGGAGCTGGGAGTGATCCGCTGTGGGCCAAGCAGGTGGTGCTGGGGGGATGACCGCAGGGGGAGCCACATCCTGACTTGTAGCAGTCCTGAGAGGCTCGCCGGGAGCCTCAGACACCTTCAAAGTGCTTCTGGAGGAGGAGCCTTCAAGGAGAGCGAGAAGCACCACAAGGGTTCCTAGAGAGAACTGTCAGGGTACGCTGCTTCTTGGGCGGCTTTTGCCGGCACAAGAGTGCAGGGGTGGAGACAGAGGAGGGTGGGGAACCCCAGGCCCGGGGACCAACGATGGCCCACCATAGCTCCTTGGCCCACCAAGGTCCCACCGGCTTTCCTCCAAGGAGCAGGCTGTCCAGCCACCCCAACCCTTAAGGACTGTGATGGACTGCAGGAAACCGTTCCAGATCGTCTGTGAGGGCTTGCCTTAGCACCGCAGCTCTGTTCCGGCTTCCTTTGAGATTTGATTCACCCATTCGCCAAGTGGCGTGGTGGGTGAAGAGCACTGAAGCCCACCATGGGAGCGGGAAGGGCAGGTGGTGGCCACAACGAGGCATTTGAAGCTGCTCTTGACTGTGTCAACAGATCCCAAAGGACCTCTTCCCAGCCTCCCTGCTTCCCCAGCCCCAGCCTCCCGATGTCTAACTATGGGAGACCCAGTGAGGTGAGTGATGTAGCTAAAAGTCTGTTGTCTGTCGGGCCGCAATGGGTCAGACACGGCTTCGCGACTAACAACAACACCCCTCTTTATACATTCATATGTTCAGCGGCAGGGAAAAATTAAAGGGTTGCTATGGATTTTCTGGCTGCTGAGTGGAGGATGAAAATTCTGCAGTAACGGTGTCTGACTTAATTGAGAGGGGAATTAATGCATCTGCTGCAGTTTGGATGCTGTGTTTATACATCTCCAAATTAAAATCCTGAACTCTGTGTGTGTGCATGCACTTGTGCACAGGAGCAGCGGGGAGGGAGTGTGAGAAAGGCGAGGGTGCAGCCCAGTGGCTGGTTGTGTGTGCCGCTCAGCACGGCAATTATCCCGAGCTGGAGAGCAGCCAGGCCACACGGGAGGAAAAGCAGAGGCAGAGTCACAGTCCAAATGGAGTGGCTTTTTCCCAGGCCTAAATCAGCAGAAAGCGCTCGGAGCAGCTGTGGAGACAAAGGGGCTTCAACATTGTTTTTTAATGTGGTTTTATGCCTCGTTGTTTTTAACGTGATGCCTGCTTTTAGTTGTCTTGCTGTACGCTACCCTGAAAAGCCAGGATATTAATAAATAAAACATCTGTTAGCCACGTGTCCTCAACGTGGCATCAGATGGATTTAATCCGGTCTGTGCTATTCAGATTATTTGATTTTCGTGCCCATATTTCCCCATAGCTGGAGCTCTTAGGGCAGTTTGTGACACTTGCCTGAAGCCAGAAGGCCAGGACAGCACCTGTGGGTGCAGCTTGGCTATTTCTTTACTTGGGAGCTGGGGGTGTTTTTTCTTCCTCTGCTTCCGTGGGGATCTGCCCTGGGCCCCCCCTGCAGCCGAAGAAAGGATGCTATGGACTCCCTGCCATTTAGAGGAAGGAAGCTGCTGAATGAGAAGGTTTAGCCCCCTCACATTTGTGTGCGGTGGTCCCGATCCAGGTGGGGGACCAGTGCACTCACCCTGAAGTAGACAAAGTTAGGATCAGTGACAACCTATGCATTTAAAAGCTGGGGCCCAAATTATCCCACATTCCTACACACAATATGGATTCTACGATTCCTCCGTAGTTGTTCCTTCTAAAAGCACTGGAAGCCATACCTTCTCCTAATCCCAGACCCAGAAGGATCTCAGGGCATGAGGCTCCCCTTCTGTTGTCCTCCAAAGCTTGGACCACTGACTTGAGCAAGGGGATCAATTTCCGATGGACGACCTCCCAGCTCCCACGGGGGCCTCCAGCCACGTTGTAGAACCAGTCGCCCGGATAGTTCACGAAACACTGGGGTGATCTGGACAGAAGGTCCTCAAACACAGAAGAGAAATAAGCTTCAGCAAACTTTTGCCAGGTGTTTTCTCCAGGAACCACTCCCAGAAGTCACCTCGAAAGCAGAGATTAAAATGTGTGAACGAATCTCAATCTGGGGGAAGCCATATGGGGCGTGTGGTCACTGCTTGCTGGATGGACTTCCTAGATCAGCTTTCTCCAAGCTGATGCCTCCAGATATTTTGGACTGGCTAGGAATGATGGGTTTTGCTGTCTAACGCCTCCAGAGGGCACCCGCATAAGGAAGGTTATTTTAGACCCACCTAGTGAAAAGTCTGTTTCCATTCTGCCCCTTGGGTTCAGGGGACCCCATACCTTCGCCTGCAGGGCCAGCGTATCTGACAGGTATCGGAGGTATTCAAGCTGGCTGCACGCACTGTGCACAGAGGCCTGCTCCTTTCCCACGCACTCCTGGAATTCAGTCACAAGATGCAGCATTGTCTGGAAGAAATTAAAAAAACCAGCTTTGCACATGGGCCTATTTTACTCCTGCAAAAATCGGAATGGGGAGAGGGAACTTGGGTTTGGCTTTTGGGAAGCAGCTATTTTTTTTTTTTTTTTTTTAGAAAAATCTCCACTCCTGTGCATGGGGGAACATGTGCATTATGTATCAACATCACCACCTGCACCTCCAACAACACAGGTTCCCTTTGCAACTCTTTCCCCTTCTCCTGCTTCCAGATGGTTCCTCATATTTCTGCTGGACTTTGGCTAGACATTTCTTTAAGTCAAAAGCCCTTTAAAAACAGAAAACTGTTATCTGGAAGCAGAGGCAACCTGGTCATAGCTTTCCCTATTTCTATTTAAATTCTAGGAATTATTTCTAAATGTGCATTTACACATACAGGCCACCTCACGGAGATTTCATGCGAATCTTCTGCCCTCTTTTGGAGAAATACATTTTCTTTTTTAAAGGAAAATGCAAAGTGATTTTGTATTATTGCCGTCTGTTGAAAGTGAACTTGAGGATTATGTTAATAAACAGCTAGGTGCAAAATCTTCACAACCAGCATGCAATGCTGCAAGCCTATATATGCCTGCTCAGGAGTAAGCTCAACTGGAAAGAAGGAGACTTACTGTTGAGCAGACATGGACAGGAATGTCCTTTACGTTGACTAGCACCAACCTTGATCCTCAACACCCAAGAGGAGCCATTTCAATCTATGGACAGGAATATAGGAACCCTTCCGAGGGATCTGCTGACCCACCTTTCTGGATTTATCTTTGATGGCCTCCTCGGTGCGAAGGCTACTGCCCCACTGACGCGCCACTTCCTTCACCTGCATCTGGAGCCGTCCTTCCTCCAGTAGCACCTTTTGAATAAACTGCATCAGCCTCTCCAGAACCTTCCTGAGGAGGAGCCGAAGCCGGTCTTCCTGGTCTCTCTCATCCTTGTCCACTGCAGCCACCAAACACAACCTTCTTAGGAGGGGACAGTATTAGAAGCTCAGCTGACAAAGCTGCCCGTGGAGCTTCGCTGGGAAGCCGCTGCTTAACGGCCCATCCTGATGTGCGGATGGCACTGGTGGTCCTTGTTTTAACCCTTGATATGCTGGGGAGTTAATACCTGCATCGTGCATGCAAGAATGATGATGGAGCAGACTGGCAGAGCTCCTGCAGGTGTGCTTTGGTGTCCAAAGCACACGTGCAGCGTTTCTTTACCTCTTGTTCGGAGGGATTGCTCCGAGTCCCCCGTCATGGTCAGGACTGTGCTGGCTCTCCTGTGGGTCTCCTGGGCAGCAGACTCTTCGAGGGCGTGACAGATGTCCTCAACTGGCTTCAATTTCTCCCTGTACCTTAGCTGCAGGAAGGAAATAGGAAGAGCATTCCAAGAAATGACACTGAGCTTCTGAGCAGGAGTGGGAAGTGAGAGGGGAAGGGCTGGGGAGCCCCTGTTGGGCCTGCAGACGGTGATCTGTTTGATCCCACACAGCATCTCCAGGTGGCTAGGAAAGTACCCTGCTTGCAACCCCAGGGAGCTGCTGCCAGTGCGTGCTGACAACACTAGCCAGATAGACAAAATGCTGCCTGCTTTTGCATGTGAAGTATTTATCATGCTCTTGTGATTCCTTCCCCTTTAGCCATTGTCATGATCCTTCTACATCCTTCTGTTTTTTCATATCCATAGCACTTTGTGCAACTATTCCCTCTTTTCTCACTAAATGAATGTTCTACAAGAGGGAAGAAGGAGTGGGAAATTCAGGTAGATTACAAAGGGAAGACAATTCATCACTAAAAGCTTGCGAGGTAAGCAGGACTATTTCACGATCAAAGCCTCTCTTGGAAATACTCTGTTTACAGAAGATAGAGTTGCACCCAGAACCTTTTTCATTTTGCCTGCGTTGGCTGCATCTAAGATATCCAGTTGTAAAAATTCCAGCTCTTTAAAGAGCTCTCCTTCTTTTTGCCGTTGGCCATGCCAGTATGTTCGCTTGGCTGTTATCTCCTTGTCCAAAGCAGCCAGCTGGAAAACAAAAACAAAACTTTCCTTTAGCAGGTTGTGAACCTCAGGAGGAATTTGGAAAACAAGGAATGCTCTGTTAAAAAAATGGGTGGGTAGGTCTTACCAGATCTGGGTCGGTATCTCCTCTCGGTAAACTCCCCAAGATCTGGACAACAGGAATGACAGAATTTGTCCAAGGGCTGATCTGAGCCCCAATCACTGGACCCATCTCACCAGTTATGGGATCGATGGTTCTGAAGCCAACCGCAAGAGGAACGAGGCCTGCAAGTTGCCAAAGGAGAACATTGGCTTTGGAGCAAAGCAGGTGAGACACCTCTCCAAAAGCCAGAACCCAGACCACTGGGCAAAGTGTGGGGTTCTCTGACAGGAAGAAGACACCACTAAACCAGCCCCACTAACTCCCACCACAACTACGAGGAGTAGAAGGTGCCCAGGCTGAGATCAGGTTGGCCTCACAGCCCCACTAACTTCCACCACAACTACGAGGAGTAGAAGGTGCCCAGGCTGAGATCAGGCTGAGACCCTACCTTTCCCATCAGCGTCTTCTACGGTCCCAGCCAGTGGGACTGGTTGCCCTGTTTTCCAGTCACCTTCCAAACCTAGGATGGGCACCATCAGTCCAGAGCCACCAGGATCCGGGATCTTCATCCCAAACACAGCAGGGAGCCAAAGGTCTGTGCCAGGATACTTGATCATTCCTAATTTGGTTTTAACAACAACAAAGACATTGGAGTCAGAACCATATAAAGACTAACAAATGTGCACCCATCAGCAAATTGCTTAACCATTATGTTTTGGTAAAAGTTCACTGCTTAATTTTTATGCTTTGCTTCAGTGATGAAAAGTTTGTTACCTTTGTTCAAAGACTATGCAATCCTATGCAAGCTGAGACAGAGAGAAGGACTTTTTCTGTCTAAACGTGCACAGGATTGCACTCTAATGGCCAAATGGGTTGAGAATGGAAGAAAAATGCAATCCTTTCTCAACAGTTTTGCTGCTGAGGAAAGTTACACTGGGAATTTGGTAGGGGAACAAAACAGGAGCTCCTGTTACCACTGAGAGGGAAACAAAGTTGTGTCGCTACTTTTAGACATGGGAAGGCAGGATTGAATCTGGTGTCATCTGAAGGGAGAATATCTGAACATTCAAAATGTGTTGCTCGGCCTGAGAGGTGGTGTGCTGGCCACACAGCTGAACGGCCAGAGGACTCTGACCGGACCAAATATTAGGAGCTGTTGAGCGATATCTGGGGAAGTCCATCTGGAGAGCTCTGCGTGAGGAACCACCCTCTGGAGGGGTCTTTGTGAGGGGCTGGGAGCCTGAGGAAGACCTCAGCCAGGATGAAGAGCATCTGCGAGACCTGGAGGCCAAGCTGAGCACCCAAGAGAGCACCTGCACGCACGTTACATGCCATCACCTGACGCACTTCCATCCAGACACCTACCCAGCTTTCCACCAGTGCTCTTGAGACTCAACGCACGCGCTTGCTGGTTTTCCAGGCTTCGTAGCCAGAACATTGAATAAGCCAGCTTCTGGGAGAGGGCTGTGATCATGTCCTCTTCTGCGGCTTTGAGGGCTTGGAGCCCATCTCCAGCAGGGCAGAGGTCCCCGCAGAAGGAGTCCTTATACTCCCTTAGAGCTCTGAGCACAAGGATCTGAGTGAGAACTACGTTGGCTTCCAGGACTGCCCAGTAACCCCCCGCATGGGGGACCATCTTGTCTTGCTGAAGGCAAATGCCCTGCACACGCGCCATCTTCCCACTCAGCGGTTCGATAAAGGAATCTCCAATAAGCAGGAGGTTTTCTGAAGGCCCCTGGAAGCCCCCCAGTGGAATGACATCTCCTGCATTCAGAGAACAGCAAAAAGGGTTAATTCGGACCTTTGTGCTCCAACCTCAGGCTTTGTCCCACTTCAGTGGCATTAAAACCTTTAGTCTTAAGGTTTGCTACCTTAAGATAGTTTGTTTCCAATGTGGTTCCCCACAAAGTATGGAGCAAAACTCACCCACATTTACGGAAAGCCCACCAAAGCCATGCACTCCCTCTGATTGTGTCATGTTGGGGGGCCCATGCTTTGCTCACTCCAGCCCTCAGGAGCAGCTAAGGATCTCTGGGTACAGGTCTTGCTGGCAGGTGGCCAGTTTGATCTCTTTGGTTTTTATTATTCTCTCCACTTTGCATGGCTTTTATCATGTATGCCACTTTGACAGGGTTCTAGAAGCAATTTCAGAGAGATGGATAGCCTAGTGGCATCCTCCCTGCATGGAACAGGTGTGAGTTTTTTTTATTTATGATGCTTACCCCTCACTGGTTGCGAGAATCTGCTCCCTGGTCCTTTTTTACGAGGAGGGAGCAAGATTGTTTATTTATTTATTTAATTAAAAATATTTATATGCCGTCCTGTCGCAAAAGCCTCAGGACGGCTTACAACATAAAATATAACGTAAATAAATTCCCGACCCACACTGGCTGCAGTTAAAAACATAGAAAAGACAATATTAAAACTTATTAAAATATTGCTGGAATAAAAGGGTCTTAACCTGGCGCTGGAAAACAAATAACGACGGCGCCAGGCGGACCTCTCTGGGGAGCGCATGCCATAGGTGGGGTGCCACCGCAAAGAAGGCCCTCCTCCGGTACTTTGCCTCCTAACGTCTTTCACGGAGGCCTCCCGGAGGAGGGCCTCTGCCGCCGATCTCAGGGGGAGGGAGGGCAAATAGGGAAGAAGGTGTTCCTTCGGGTATCCAGGTCCCGAGCCGTTCAGGGCTTTATAGGTTACAGACTAAGCACCGGACCTTCTGTGCACAAAGCATGTAGGGTGAGCACGAGTCCTGATTTGTATTTTTATCTAATGTTTATATTTTTTAATTTATTATTATAATTATTTTTAATTTATTCTTTTAAGCCGCCCCGAGGCTTCGGCGAATGGGGTTGCATAAAAATGTTTTAATAAATAAATAAATAAACAAACAGAGGGCAGTCATCTGTTTAAAAGTTGGCCAACGGAGAGTCTTGGAGGCATCCAAACCTGGTCTAGCAGGATGGCACCTCCATCACGGGAGCCAAAACCATGCAGTCCCCACTTGCAAACAGTGCTTGGCCAGCGAGTCCAGCACAAATGAGATGCAGCATCTTTCTATTGAAATGATAGCGACCGTTCCTAGCTCTACCTGTGAGCTGGAGGCCATACCTTTTAGCCGAGTCTGTCTTCTTTCTCACGGAAGTGTTTTCTCTCAGGAAGCAAAGGGGGCCCTCCTAAGAGTCCCCACACCATCTGCCACACTGCACTATTATTCTACAGAGGTGAAACCAGAAAAACCTACCCAAGTTATTATCCAAACTGACTCCAAGGATCGGGACAATTTTCCCTCCTTCCGGTGTTCTCATCGGGCCCCCAATTTCAAGAGGCGTCACTGTTCCTGTTAGAGGATTCAGGTATGTCCCACCCAAGGACAGCTTCTGGCCAGTTTGGGGGTGAATGGTAACGGCGAGTATCGGCACTTCTATCCCCGTCGCTGGATCCTGCATAAGGCCTCCCAGTCTGCATAGCTTCTCTGGCTGCAGAACAGGTAGGTTAGCCTTCACAGGTAGACTGGTACCGGGGCACACAGGGTAAGGAACGTAGGAGAAGATGGGGGCCTCTGAGCGACGACTCTTCCCTAGGCAGAGAAACCAATGGTGGTCACGGACTGGTGTGAGAACACAGTTATGTGATCAGACATTTACTTATCCCAGGCAAAACAGGTACGGTAAGATTGGTTTATGCTGGCTTTAGCATCACATTCGCGTGGTTTTCGCATGGTCTGCTCATGCAAGAGGAACATGTGGGGAAGGTGCCATAGGATGACACTTGGGCCGTCCAGTGGGACATTCCAGCGCTGGATGCAGAGCCCCCCCGCAAGCAGAAAGCTGAGTCGCAGCGCTTTGCTGCCTGTTCCTCCACCTCAGCATGCTTACCGCCTTGTTCCGCTGCATGTGGAGCATGCCGGCCGCACAGGCTGGAAATTAGGGCAGTGGGAGCGCAACACGCCTGAAGGGCACCTGGAGGAAGGCCGCCTTAAAGCGGCTGCACCGGAGTAGGTGGACCGCTGGCCTAACCCGGAGCAGGGCTGAGTGAGGACTTGAGCCAGGTTCCCAGCTCGACACTAGCCACCCTCCGGGCTCTGCGCTGGCCTCGTGCAGACCGCTCCTCCGAGCAGTGGCCCACAAGAAGCCCACATGCCCCCAGCAATGGG